ACTCACCTCAGCCTCCCAAAGGCGCGGGATTACAGGCTGAGCCACCGAGCCTGGCTTTTGATTTTATTCTAGTGATGAGTTCTCGCCCCGCCCATTTGCCCGGGCTGGTCTCGAAACCGCAGGCTCAGGCAATCCTCTCACCTCGGTCTCCCAGAGTGCTGGGATTATAGCCTGAGGCACAGAGCCCGGCCAAAGACTGAAAATATTAAAGGAGGCAAGATGGAAACAGAACCAGTGGGAGCGTGAAAGCTTCTGCCAGGGCGAGCGTCCATAAATACAGTCTGCGTGAGTAGGTGAGTACAGCTGAGTGAGTTTTCGTCTGTCTGCGGGAGACTCAGCATCAAGCACCAGGGAAGCAGCTGCAACTCACTACTACCCTGAGGTCAGAGCCCCTGGCATGGAATATCATCAGCCATTCTCAGAAATCTCTCGGGAGGAGACAGCGGAGGTCAACTGCTCCTCAGCTCCTGGCACCTGGCCCACACTACCACCTGTGGCAGCAGGCCTGGCACTAGCAGTGGAAACCATGGAGAGGGCGCCAAAAGGAAATCTGGAGTTGAGCCTGGCTCCTGCCAGTGAGGAAACACCCACCACAGCCATTTTCTCTGCCCCAGACCGGGCAGAGACCTGTGTTGTGTTGGCCACCTGGCTGTGTTCCCCCTCCATCCTGAGACCCAGAGGTGATCTCTGTCCCGCTCTGGAATCGATCATCCATGACCCAGAGAGAAAACTTCAGGAGCAGAGATAGAGGGACGGTGCCCCACCTGAAGCTGGACCAGAGACGGACACATCTGATGCTGGAGAGGAGGTGGGGGAAAGGTGACACTGTTAGTGGGGGTGTAAACTAGTACAACCTCTTGGAAAACAGTGTGGCATTCCTAAAAACCGACCTTCTATATGATCCGGCAATCCCTCTTCGGGAATATACCTGGAGGAACTCAAATCACTCTATGAAAAAGATACCTGCATACATGTTTGTTGCAGCATTATTCACAATAGCAAAAACAGGGAACCAACCATGTTACCCATCAAAAGTGGACTTGATAAAAGAAATGTGGTACATGTACACAATGGAATATCATGCAGCCAATAAGAAGGAAAAAATTATGAGCTTTGCAGCAACATGGATGGATATAGAGTCCATTAGTCAGTGATCTATCACAGAAACAGAGAACTGAGTACCACATGTTCTCACTCATAAGCAGACCCTGAACAATTATCATAATACTATAAGAAAGGGATTGACAGTAGTGTGCCAGGGGGCGGGGGGGGAGGGGGGCACGACATGACACTTCATCAGTAAGGGTACCTGATCTCAAACCAGGTACAATGGGGACCAAAGTGAGGCCCAAACTTTACCTACACAATGATTACTTGTATAACTAACCCTGAATTGTACGCATCTTTAAAATAAAAATTTTAAAAACTGAAAATATTAATTAGTAAAATCGTATGGGATGGTTAGAAGAGAGGACAGAGCTGTAAGTTTCTGTGGAGTACAATTTAAACCTTACATATTATAGGATGTTGTCCTAATACATCATTCCCTTTTCAGAACTATTTTATTTTCTTTATTGATCTCTTCTGCAATAAAATATGCACATATCTTTTAATTTGGGGGGGGAATGCTGTCTCAGACTGCTTATCTCCTTTGTATCAACACTATTATTTTTACTAATGTATAATATTTATTCTCTCTGTTCCTCTTTGAATATCTGCGAATAAGTTCTCTATTGTCAACTTCTTTCTCTGGTTGTCTCCCATTCCCCAAAATTAATTAATCCACTGACCTTGCTGCTGTTGGGTTCCAGAGTAGGAATAAACATGAATGAAGACTATCTTTCCTACCTGATGTGCGGTAATATATATAGCTACGAAGACAGACTTCCCTTTGCTCTTCTATGATTCTACCCTGAGTCTAAGATGAATTTCCCAATTTCCTGCATTAGTCAGTGATATAAAGATCTAACACTCCCTGTAGATTTATTCTCTCTCTCACTCTCTCTCTCTCTGTCTCTTTTCTCTCTGTCTTTGCCTACCTCTACCCCGTTTCATTCTGTATGTGCGTACGCATGTGTCTTTTCCTGAGCATGACTAAAATGAGAAAGATAGAATCTCTTGGGGATTCTACACAGGTGACTCAAGATTTAAGAAAACAACCATCCCCATATGACTCCAATTAGATAAAGTAGTTCGGGTTGGTAATTGGGAGCACCCCAGTCCTAGGGAACTTGAATCCAAGACAAATGAGATAGCTAGGGAACTCTAGGCATCAGAATAAAATATCTTTTTTTATTTTACCTCTTTTTTGTGGTACTTTTGGTTAGATTTACTTTTTAGTGAATCAAAATGCTAAAATTTAAAGCTCAGATTCAAGAGATGTTGATACAGTAGAGAAAGAAATCAGTGAATCAATGAATGGAAGGAGCCAGACTTCCATCCCGTTTGTTTCTGAGTCATTCACTCTAGCTTAGAGAAAAAAAATTAATCCTCCATGTATTCCATCCACTAGTTTCATATTGAAATTTGGGCCAATAATTTAGCTAATAATGTTGATTTTTCTCTTATTTTGTCTTCTTTATACAGAAAGGCCAGAGACCTTTCTAGGCAGAGAAATAGCAGGCAGGGAAGTTTCCCAAAGGCTAAAGCAAATTAACAGTATGCTACCCTAATAAGACTGCTTCTACTTTCTTTATTCATTAAAATTTCTGAGAATAAAAAGATTAATATGATAAAATACATTTCCTATTCTATAGTTAATATAGAATATAGAAATGGGTACAAATCAATATTTTACAAGTTGTAATCTCCCTAAAAGATATCAGAACAACGTGCCCTGAAGGGGGCAATTCATTTTCTCTCATGAATTCAGAGAAGCCTTGACAAAAGTCAGTCTAAAATAACTTAACTTGCTAAGCTTCCTGCCCTGGAAATGATAAGATGAAGATCCAAACGCAATTTTGCCCAACTCACAGAGAACACACTCCTGTATAGACAAGGATTAGAAAAATGAAAAGGGAAAGTCCTCTATGTGGGTACTGGTGCCAGTAGGAAATTTGCTCCTTTTATTCTCTACAGAGCGGTTTCTGCTGAGATTCTGTTTTAGGAAATCAGGACACAAAACCCAAATCTTACCCTTCATTTTAGGAACTATGTCCTTCCCTAGCTCTTCTTGTCTCTCCCTCTTTAGACTTTTAACACCACTAAAAGAATTTTTATACCAAACTCACAAAGCAAAAGTCCAAAAGTACTGTATTTGTTCACTTTAAATCAATAGTATCTGTTATTAAAAACAAACACAGACAATAATGTTTGGAAACAACTCTTTTCACACTCTTGTTTGTTTTTTTCATGTGTTTATTTTGGATGGGAAGGGGAAGGGGACATGATAAATTTCTGTGAATTTTCAACCTTGAGAAGAAGGGCTACCATCTAAACAGTGGAGATAGCAGTGCAGTGTATTAAGCAGGAGGGTCTGGCAGTCCAGGAGTGATGAGGATAAAAGAGTTGTTGATCGCAGGCCAGTGGTTACAGTTACTTTTGGAAAACATTCTTCGTTGACTGAAAGAAAATGAGTCAGCTATGTTGTTATACAGATGATGTTAATAATAAAAGATGATATTTATTGAGCACTTGCTATTGACTAGGAACTGTATATACTATATAAACTCATTTACT